GCAGCGAAACTAGCGCCAGCAGCAGCAGCAGCAGCAGCGGCAGCAGCAGCAGCAGCAGCAGCACTTCACCGGCTCCTCCCCGCAAATCGTAGGCCGCCCTCGCCAGCTTTGCCTCTCAGCAGCAACAGCAATAACTGCAACAGCTGCAGCAGCAACAACAACAGCAGCAGCAATAGCAGCAGCGGTAGCAGCAGCAAGGAGCTTGCTTCGGCTTTGTTTGCATGCAGGCGGAAGGAGGAAGCAGCAGAAGAAACTCTGAAGCAACAAAAGGCCCTTATGAACAAGAAGCATAAAAGACTTTACGAAAGAATTGAGGTGATGCCCAAAGAAACAAGTTGCTGCTGCTGCTGCTGCTGCTGCTCTAGATACTTATTTTGCTGCTGCTGCTGCTGCGCTAGATACTGCTGTTGCTGCTGCTGCTGCTCTAGATAGTGCTGTTGCTGCTGCTGCTGCTGTAGATAATGTGATGTGGTGCTGCTGCCGTAGGTATTGTTGCTGCTGCTGCTGCTATAGATACTGTTGCTGCCGCTGCTACTTTGAGCACTGTTGCTGCTGCTGCTAGTGCTGTTTGCTGCTTTTTCTGCTGCTGCTGCAGTTTGGGAGAAAGCGGAAAGAGCAGCAGGCGGAAACCCTCAGAGCCAAGAGATTGGCACTGCAGCAGCAGCAGCAGCAAAAGAAGCAGCAGCAGTAAGCAACAGCAGCTTCTGCTGCTGCGCATTTTTCTCAGCATATTTGTGGAAAGACGCAATGGCAAATATAGCAGCAGCAGCAGCAGCACACGCTGCTGCTCCTGCTGCTAGTCTCAGCCGCGTTCATCCTGTGGCCCCCCAGCAGTACCCTGAGGGCCCCTCTAGGCTTTGCTGCTATGAAATTTGTTGCTGCTGCTGCTGCTGCTGGGCCTGAGCAGCAACTCGGTAGCTTTAAATACATCTGCAGTTTGTCCTACCAAACATCAGCAATCAAGTAGGGTTTAGGGTTTAGGGTTTAGGGTTTGAGTTTGAAAGCCTTCTCCCTTGAAGGCAAGCGGCTGCCGCTTTGTCTTAGTGTAGCAGCTAACTGGCAGGCTGTTGCTGCTGCTGCTCCTGCTGCTTCTACCGGTTCTTGGAGCTGCAGCTAGCTATTTGCTGCTAATCTTCGCAGCATTCTCTAAACCCTAAACCACCGAGAGCAGATCTTTTAAATTAGGGTTTATAAATTGCTGCTTGGACAGCTTTTTTGCAGAAGAAA